GATTTTGGGTTTAGTGTTCTCAGGGAAACTCCAGCATGTTGACAAACTGTTCTGGCTCCAGTATGGCAGCCCAGAGGGTCCTGCAGGGGATGGTGAGGGGAGCTGAAAAGCTCAGTAGTGTCCCTACTTTCTGTTTATCTTCAAACCCTCAAACTTTTTGAATTGAAGTAATGAAACAGTACTGCAACATTACAATAGAGAACTGCTTCCAGTGTAAATAAATATGCTGAACTTGCATTAATTTTTACACTTTTTTCTCTAATTTGAGTTTTTGTCGCTATTGTTTATATGCTTACAAGATCCATCAGTCTGCTGTATGATCTGAAAAGCTTGTTTAATTTTTGATTAAGTGATGGAAGATACATGACAACATGCAACATAAAAACCATTTAAATCAAGGCAGCAAAGTTTTTCCCTCTAAACCCATTCTTTGGACTATTTCAGACACAAACTCTTCATGTGTAGCTCTGCTGTGTGCATGCTTTGGACCAAAAACAAACAACTTAAATCAACATTTTAGACCGACAACGCCAAAGCTTTGATAAATAAAGAAAAACGCTGCTGCATGGAAGCGCTCAGGCTGTAGTGTCAGACCTTGCACATCTCTTGGCTCCTGTACAGCTGATGAAAACCACACCTTTCAGCGAGTAAATTATTTCTGCCAGCTGCAAAGCAAATTTCATTTTCTCCTGTCTCTCGACAACAAAGATGCTGAACCCATTACAGGCCAAGGCGCGTGCATCACACACGTTAAATGAAGGGTCCTTTTGCAATCGAGAGAAAAAAAAAAGCTATTTTCTCATTGAGCCAATAGATACTCCATTTAGTTGTGCCTCTGTGGATTACTGCTCCTGTAGAGAGGATGATTCAGGGAGAAAGCGAACAAAGAGCGCTGACCCTGTATTGTTTTGCCTACACATTTCTGGTGCTCCAAAAGCTCCGTTATGAATATAAACGGATATAGACTAGAAAGGATGTGCAAGTTTCCAGTGCAAATATCTTAGTTTGCTTGAAATAAGACCGAACTAACTTATTTAAAGAGTTTAAAAAACACCAGGCTTGTTTTTAGCTATTAGTTCTTGCTTTTGGTGTCTGGAAAATGAGTCGTTTCTAAAACCTCCTGAGTGAAACGTCACAAAATAAGCAGGCATTGCACCTCACCTAGCAACCACGGCAGAGCTCCAGCATGTTTAGTCACACAGCAAAAACACTAAATATTACCAAGTACTTTTTGGCTTTGTTTCTACTGCAAATATCTTAGTTTGCATGAAATAAGACAGAAATAACGTAAAAGACAAAAGAGCTTGTTTTATGTCAGTAATTCCTTAACATTGATGAAAAAATGCTGGTCATCATTTCACTTATGACATGTATTGTGAGAACAAGACATTTTTTCATTGTTATAAGTGAAATAATTTGCCAATAAAACCAGTATTTTGTCATCAATATTAAGCAATTACTGACTTAAAATAAGCTCCTATAACTTGCTTGTAAGTGAATTTTGTATTATTTCAAGCAAACTAAGACATTTGAACTAAAAACTACACTGTTAAAAAAAATGTTTATGGTGAATTAGTCTCTAATTTATGTTTGTAAAATACCGGCAGAATTTTACCGTATATAAAATATAAAACATTACTCTTTTGTATATTTTTTGTATATTTTGTATATTTTAAAGAAGAGAATTTTATCAAATTTCTCACAACTTTACCATTTGAAAACAGTAAGATTTCATCAACCACAGCTGCCGGTATCTTACTGTAAATTAGAGACATTTTTCTTTACACTGTAGACCAAAAGCACTTGGTAAGATTTTGCGTTTTTGCAGTGGAGTCAGAAGACAAAGTGGAAACAAGGAAAGAAAGCTGAGAGAGGATCTGGTTAAGGCGCATTAAATATCCTGCCAAAAAGAGATCCACCTCATCTGCAATCATGCCAGCTGAGACCAAGAAGGAAAAAGGTGGGGAAATGACACCGAACGGAGAGACCACTGGCTGATTAACGTCAGGCCTTTAATGCTGTGCCAGGTCAGGTGGTGTCACGTATTTTTCAGCGAATGCTGGCAGACTCGCTCACAGATTTTGCCAAGACCTGGATGAAACGGCAGCTTTGAACTCATCACTCCCTCACATCATGAAGATGTGTTTTCGTTTCATTGTAATGCAAATGGTAAATCAAAAGCAGCATATTAACAGGGATACTATTAACACCTTAGGTGTTGTGTGTGGGTGGGTGGAGAAAAAAAACCCCACTGGAATCAACTGAAATGTTGTACCGTTTAATTACAGCACCCTTTGTCGCATTTATAAATTTCATTACCAGTTCACTAATGCAGCTGTTGATGTTTATTGTGTAAAAACTATTTCTTTTTCCGTATATATTCTTTTAACAAACGGAGGAGAGAAAAGCTGCAGGCAGAGTCTAGTCATCTGTGTTGGCAGCTCCTCCAAACACATCAATTCAACTGTTTCTTTATCTTTTTCCACCCGTTACTTGACAAAGCAATTGTTCCACAGCAACATGGCGAACAAACAGATCTCTGTTTTCTTTCTGTCTCCACCAACCTCTTTTTACTTGGTTAGGAAGAATGAAATTAGACCAAAGAATAGCAGAGAACAGAAGGAAGCAGAGCTCTTCTCTCAGTAAAATGCGCTGGTGCAGCAGCGCTGACAGTTAGTCTGTCTGTCAGTGTGTCCAAACTGACTGGCTGTGATGTGATTCTCCTCTCTTCTGACATGCAAACCTCAGGGAGCTGCAGGGCCTCAACTCCAGGCACACTCCCATGGACACTGCTGTGTGTTAATGAGTCCCTCGGAGACAATCTCCTGGGGCAAAATGTGATTAGATCCAGATTCCTAGCAGTTACTGTAACCAGACTAAATGCTTGAGTGGAATATAGAAATATAATTTTTTTTACCCTCACGAAAACAGTGAGGATTTAATCAATAAAATTAGGGTAATAATTGGAATTGGGCACATTTTGATCATAAATTACATGAAATTAAACAGGTACTTGAATAGATTAAATTCAACCAATTTTGAGCAAGACTGGTAAAATTGTAGGTAATTATCAAGATAATTACACTCAGCTTAACGTTAAAAAGAAACATATATAAGAATTGGGCCATGATTATCTCATAAAACGCTGGTGAAAGTTTCTAAATGTGTCCTAAGTTGGCATGTAAAGATTCCTAGCAAATTTGACGTCAGCATAAGCATTGTCTTTAACTACTAGTTAAAGCTTAACACTAATACATTAAATCTATTTTAACAAGATGGCGTGCAGACCTTTCAACTATCCTGACATAACAGCAGATTAGATTCGGTTCACTGGAAATAATTGCCTAAAGGTTGACAACCAAAGCTTGCTAGATATTTTTGCTTTAGTGTTAGCATTGTTGTTAATCCACTTCAAGGTGGATCCAAGTTTTTTTTTTAAATCAATTCTTACAAGTTATTAAACTTTTTCTATCCCCTGAAAACCAGATTTAAACTGTACTAATAGTGTTAGCATCGTTGCTAAAGTAGTGGAAACTTGTGATGAATGTGGACCAGTGGTGGTATACCGTATTTTCAGGACTTTAAGTCGCACCGGAGTATAAGTCGCATTTTTGAGGAAAATTTATTTGGTAAAATCCAACACCAAGAACAGACATGTCATCTTGAAAGGCAGTAAAAATAGAATAGAGGCAACAACAGGCTGAATAATTGTACGATATGCTAACGTTACATGACACATGAACAACAAACTGAGAACACGCCTTGTATGTTAACATATTAAGAGTTATTCAGATAACTATAGCATAAATAACATGCTAACAAGTTTACCAAACTATCTGTGTCACTCCAAATCACGAAACACAATGAAATCTTCATTTTTAAACAACTCTGTTAACTCTTAAGGGAGAATAACACAGACCTAGAGCGCCCTCTTGCGGTTTAGTGTGAAAATAACATATGATATGATATAATGATGTGTTAATTTCCACCCATAAGTCGCTCCGGAGTATAAGTCGCACCCTCGGCCAAACTGTGAAAAAAAATGCGACTTATAGTCCGGAAAATACGTAGTAATTGGAAGGTTGTAAGTTTGATATACTAAACCCAAAATTAGCATATATTGACCCGTGTATCAAAGTGTGCTGGGATAAACATGCTTTGAGTGAGTATGAAAGGTGCTTTTAAATTCGATCCAAGTAACATGATACAAATTTAAATTCAAAAGCTTTCCAAATATGAACTCTGAATAAGTTGATATAAGTTTGACACAGTATAGCTAATTGTTGACTAAACCATTACCTAGTGGATGCTAAAATACTAAAATAATTTTCATACTACAGAATACATTTGCAATGTATTCTGAATTTCAACTTTGTGTTAACCCTTTTGGATAAGTCACATGTCTGATGGATAATAAGTGACTCTGTCCTTAAAAGTATTGACTTTCTCTCTTTTTCCTCACAGGACGCGTTGCGCTCGCTTCAGCGGAGATCTGACAAGACAGAGGGGAAGAGGCTGCGGAGGTTTCTGGATGATGCATCCCTCTGATTAATGCAAACTGACGGCGAAGTTCTGCCCTGCAGCAAAGGTAGCGCCGTCAGAGACATCCATCTGGTGACCCCCCCCCCACGTCCCGGCAGACAGCCTCTTCGGGTTGGGGCTGATCCGCCGTGGGAAGGGTGCCAGCTTGGAGACGGACGGACGCACGGCGCTCCGGACCGAACCGGACCGGACCGAGCGCCTCCTGTCCAGCTTCTCACCGCGCAAAAACACCGAGGAAAGACTCGCAATAATAAACAGAAGACATGCGACGTGAACTGAGTCTGCACGGAACCGAAACATGAATGTAGAGCCATTTTCTTTTTTCTATTAACTATTAATTTCGTTACTTTTTTCAGCAAGTCTTTAAAGGTGAGGCAAAGATGCAACATGTTCCAACAAAGTGTGAGGAAGAATCCCCTTTAAACTTTAAACTCAGCAACAGGGGAGCTGCTTCTTACCTCCAGCCGAACCTCAGCCTGTCTGTGGCGACCCGCTTCTCCTCACAGAACCTCACAAAACCTCGACGTGGTTATGGATGCTCCTGTTCGCCAAAAACACAAAATGCTGGTCAGAGTGGATGTCCGCCGGAGAGAGTCATGCCCAGCAGCGCCCAGCTGAAGCAAAATCCAGCGCTCCACTCCTGCCGGCACGCAGCTGCGACTGGAGGCAGCAAACAGTTGGAGTCGGTGGAGGCTGAGCGGCTGATCCAGGAGCAGCCGGTCCGGATCCGGAGGGCGGAGACTCTGCGGCAGCGGACACGCCTTCAGCCGAACCGCACACTTCATGTCACAGCAGAGCAGGGCTGGAGGGACCAGCAGTTACTTTTACATAACTACTTCTACTGAAGTTACTTTTTATTTTAAGACATTTACTAGGAGAATTTTTTACTTGAGTCATTTTATTATAAAGTATCTCTACTCTTACTACATTCTCTACCAACTGAAAAAAGCAAACTTTCAACCTTAAAATACCAACATTTTCATTTAATTTTATACTTTGGTTCATCTGATGATGTAATTTAGGTAATAATGTTTCAAAAGCAACTGCAGCCAGGCGCGTTTTTTCATGTAGATTTAAAGGAACTCAGTGTTTCAGATGTTTTGCAGTTTTCTGGAAGTTTGTTCCAGATTTGTTGTGCATAGAAGCTGAATCCTGCTTCTCCATGTTTGGTTCTGGGGATGCAGAGCACAACCAGAACCAGAACACCTGAGAAGTCTGGAAGGTTGCTATGACAAGAGCAGATGTTTAATGTGTTGTGGTGCCGAGCCATTCAGTGGTTTATAAACAGAATTTTAAAGTCTATTCTCTGAGCGGCAGGCGGCTAGAGGAAGGACATTAGAACTGGGTCAGAACTCCAGCAGCAGCGTTCCGGATCTGAAGACACTGTTGCAGTAACCAATACGACTAAAGATAAACACAAGAATGAGTTTCTCTAGATCTTGCTGAGACTTTAGTCCTCTAATCCTGGTTCTAATTCTTCAGGTGATAGAAGGCCGACTTTGTAAACATCTTCATGTGGCTCTGAAGGTTGAGGTCAGAGTTCAATCTGATCGCTGCTTTCCATCTGTAATAACTGAAGCTGTGTGTTGTCTCTAGAAAGTTCCTCCTGAGGCCCAAATATAACTTCAGTTTTGTTTGCTTTTAGCTGGAGAAAGTTTTGGCACATCCACAGATTTATCTGTTCGAAGCATCTGTTCAGTGATTGGATGGATTCTGAATCACCTGGTGACATCATAATGTAGAGCTGACTATCACTACTAGACCAAAAATACTTGGAAATATTTTGTGTTTTTGCGGTGTTGAAGGTCAAGATATTATGTTTTACTCCATTAAACTAATAATGTCATGGAGCAACAATACAGAGCAAAAAGTGTGAAATGCAAATTATGACAAATGAGCCTCAGAGGACAGAGCGAAGCTTTTACTGTATAAATCAGCTACTCATCATCTGCAGAGGGCTGCAGCATCTGAACTCCAGAACCGACCCAAACACAAAACGAAAAGTAAAACCAATAACAAACATCATAACGTTCACAGGCAGTATTCATAGCCAAAAGCAAGACGGATACTTAGCATGTAGATATAGTTCATTTTTTTGTAAAAGTGACAAAAATAAGGAACAAATAAGTTCCCCGGTTGACAACCAGCACCAACTTTTCAGATCTACCACCTAATAGCTGTTGTTTGTCCCTGTTAATTATTCATGCTGTGTGCCTGTTGTCCAGCCAGAAAAACAGGAGAAGGGCTTTTGTTCCACGTCTGGAGTGGGCTTGAAGTGTTTTCTCTCCCTCTGTGCTCCTCGTGTCACAGAATCTACTGCAGATGGAGAGCAAGATAAGCGCTCCAGAGGCTGATCTTTTTGCTTTCTCCTCCGAGGTCGTGACACTGACATTCTCCCTGGCAAACGTGATACTTTCAACCCCCCGTCTCCTCGTGTTTTCTTTTCATCTCGTCCTTATTGCCCCTTGGGAGCTCTGCAATTTAAAACGCATTTTGAAAGCAAAATGCATTGTCAAAACTGGACAAAGATCAGCTTGGAGAGTTGGGGAATGTTGTCAGGATTGAGAAGTGTGGCTGAGTAAAGTGAGGAATCACAGGAGTGAGTTGGCAGCAGAAGGAACAGCTGTGAGGTGTTTTCTTTTTGGCTCCTTGGGTATTTTCAGAGGACTTAGAGAGCAAAGAAAGGCTAAGGTGACTAAAAAAGCCCCTTCCACCATCTGAGCGCTCGCATGGATCACTGGTTAGGGGAGGGGTCCTCTCCAAGTCTCTTGTTAAGTAAAGAAACTGTTTGTTGTCTTTGGCTAATCAGTGATTGATCAACAAATGCAGCTTGTACACACTGATAAAGTAGCAAAGACTTAACAAATGTATATTCATTTCAAGGTAAGAAAATGAAAAAAAAATCTAAATTAGTTTTAAATTTTAAATCCAACATTTAACCTGCAAAAAATACACTGCTGATGCAGAAATAAAAGATTATCTCTTGTTGTGGATAAAATGCAGTTCAGTTTCACACAAAACTCATATACTGTAACCTATTAGCAACAAGCAAAGTGCAATACTCGGCTTTGACTGCACACATTGGAAAAACACAAAATCCTGCCAAGTAATTTCAGTTTAGTTTGTAGTGAAAATGTCTTCGTTCACTTGAAATTAAACAAATCAGACAAGCAACTTTTCAGCAAGAAATATGAAAATACAAGAAATAGTCGATAATTTCTTAATGTTGATGGAAAAAATACCATTTCCATTGGCAGATTATTTCACTTATGAGTAAAATAATCTGTCAATTAAAAAAGTATTTTTCAAAATTAAACAAGCTTGGCTGGGGTTGCTAGGTAATGACAAAGTGCCTATTATAAGTGAAATAATCTGCAAGTAAATAACATCAATGAATTGTTTATTTAAAACAAGCTCAAACTCCTCTCATCAAGCAACACTGGTTGCCTTTAAATTGGAGGGACACAAGATTCTGACATTAGTTTACTGAAATTTTGTCTCCTTTCCAGGCAGAATATTTTTTTACCAAGTCAGGTAACATATTATCCATTTTCTCTCTCAAGTTTAATGTGGAGAGAAAAACAATGTCTTCATAAATGCATTTGCAAACTTTTGACTGTTTCATTTCACTGTTTGGTACCAGATTCATGCATTTTCTCACGGTTTTTTGCTCTCATTCTGGAGTTGATTTTTCCAACTCACCAAATCCAGTTGATCTCTGGGACACTGAACCCATCTCCTTTCTGACCCGCATAAAGTCTGAACATTCTGATGCTGTTTCTACTTGCAAATACTTGTTTAAAAAGACAAATGTGGCACTTTCCAGCATCTATAAAACACTTCTAGGGATCCAAATGCTTGAGATGTTGTCTTGAAATGTTTAACAAATGTTTTCAAATGTCACAATGTAACATGTTAGAAACCCAGATTCAATGAATGTACTAGTTTCTTTGTTCTTAATTCTGTTTTTTAATTGAACATAATCTAATTACGTGGCAGGAAGTTTAGAGGAACTGCAGCTTCTGTAAATCGGATTCAGTGTGTTCTGTCTTCGGCTGCTGTGTGGTCGTCTTGTTTGTCCCCCATAAAGCAGCGGTCAGTACAATGTCCATTTTGTTCTTTGTCCACGCTAACCACATGATGCACACAATCACAGACGGCCCACGCTTTCTCGCAGACTCTTCCTCAGACTCACATTCTTCTGGCACACTAACCTGCTTAATTTAATTTGCACTATGAGCGCTTTATTTTCACACACACAGCATTGGACCACATGCTGTCTCATTAAATAGGCCATGGTCATGCCTCACAAGTTTTCACACAGTGCTCCCCGTTGTTGTGCACGCACGCACGCACAAACACACATACAAAGACAGAGAGAGAAATACACACAGAAACACAAATGGTCTTGAAGATTTCCCCTGGCAAGAGCAGCAGAATATTTTAATACAAAGCATTTCTGTGGAAATGAGATGGTGATCTGTTTTATGTTTAAATGCCTTTTTTTGTTGTAAAAGCAGAAATGCATAAATGTTTTATCTTTGGTGATATAAGTTTACGTGATGGAAAGATTCAGAAACCCCACAAAAAGAGTCAATTTAGTAAGATGCTTAAGATGTGAAAACAGGAAAATCAAGGGTGGAATTATTTAATTTGGAGTCTTTGTTGTTCTATGAATTATTAAATGTCTTTCATCTCTTTATTAAGTCCATAGCTAATCTGGCTTTGAAGACTACACCAAAAATCATCTTGTGTATTCATTCAACTTGAACTCAACTTGGACTCTTGAAGTCCAATCACATCATTTAATGTATTTTATTCATTTATTTATTTTTTAAGGAGAATTTTGTTTCCAGAGTCTTCAAAATTCATTTTATTTGTTGTTTTTGTTTTGTTTATTTATTTTGGATATTTAGAACGTCTTACAGTTCCAGTGTTAAAAGTTTTTTAATAATGCCATTATTATCATTATGTCACTGGAAAATAGTTTCAAAATAGCAATATTATCGTTTATTGCGATAACTTCTGGGACAATTTATCATTCATCAAAATTTGTTATTCTGATACACATATATATATATATATCACAGGAAAACCACATAAGAGTCATTATAGTTTCTGTTTGAAATTTAACAAAATGTGAAACCTTGGCAAAGGCTTCACTGCAAAAACACAACATTTCACCAAGCATTTTTGGTCTAATTTCTGGTGCAAATACCTCAGTACACTTGAAAAAAAGACACAACTAACTTCAGCAAGATGTTTCTTAATATTGATGAGAATTACTAGTCCCAATGGCAGACTATTTCAATTACAACATTTTGTTATAGATGGAATAATCTGCCAATAGATCTAGTACTTTTCATTAATAATAAGAAATTATTTACTTAAAACAGAAACATCTTGCTGAAAAGTTACTTGTGAGTTAGTTTTGTCTTATTTCAAGGGTTATGAGATATTTGCAACAGAAACTAAACCAAAAATACTTGGTCAGATTTTGCGTTTTTGCAGTAAAAACAAATACAACCTCACAAAATGATGATTTGGTTTGTGGAACTTGTTTTCTTTGCTTTTTTTTTTTTTTTTTTTGCTTGAACAAACAAATTAAGTTAAAGTGTGCTTTTCCCCAGCCATGGACTTCGTTTCCCCATTATTTTGATTCTCATAAAATCCTCAAACATGAACCTACAGATAGGCGGTAAAGACGAGCCTGCAGCCTCAATCTGTCAGGGGACATCATCCGGCGCGGATGAGACGCGCCGCGCTCCCGGACCCTCCGTGACTCCACAACTGGAAGATCAA